CTAGCCCATCTTCTGAGGTAAGAGAGAAAATAAGGAAGTCTTCTTGCCAGACAGACAGACAAGAAATAGGCAGAGAAGTAACTGCAAGACATTGTAGGGTAGTAAAACAAACATCTTCAAACAGAAATTTAGGATTATTTAGGCTACCCCCTCCACTACCACTCATCCCTCCAAAAAGGGACTTAATCACATAGGTCTCTGAGAAATCTGCTCTCTAGCAATAGTTAACATCTCCTTCTCGTATTTGGTTTACCAAACCCATGCATTTACTTGCTGTATTTTTAAAATTATGCTACTATATCTTCCCATGTTTTGTTCTGTGTTTTATTGCTTTTGGGTTTTTTGTATTTTATTTACTTTTCAGAAATAAGCATCCTCAACATCTCAATGTAAGAAAAGGGAGTTTACCAGCAAGCAACTCAACAGTTCCTAGGGAACAGGCTATTATAGAAGTGATGAAATGCTCAGTAAGAAACACATGCGACTAAGTCTTTTTTGGTTGAGGAAAAGGGACAGGAGGAGTGCAGGAGAGAACTATGCATTTTTAAGGTTGCTTAAATTACACCAGAATACTTTTTGTCTCACAAATTTTCAAACATTATCTCTAGTTGTGGATGCGATTTGTAGATCCAAGTTCCCTGCACATTCATCCCCACATCTCTGAACAAACATATGCCAGTTTTAGAGGTTTAAAGTACCTTGCTCTGGTTTGCAAAACTAAACGAGTCTCCCTATTCATCTCCATATCTAAACTTATAAAGAGGATTTCCTTAAGAGGGAATTAGTAGTAGTTGAGTAACAATAGCATTCCTATTGATGACCCCTGTTCCAAGACTCCACAATAATACTGCTTAAGTGATAAATCCTATTAGGCAATCTTTCATTTTTCAGACTTACATTAATAGGAGTCTTACAGAACCACCCAGAAACCCAACCATAAACAGAGTCCCGTTGTGCAAGGCACTGCATAAACACATAGTAAAAGACAGTTTCTGACTCAAGGAACTTACAGTCTATGGCTATGTCTACACTGCACCTTCATCTGTAAAGCTTTTTGTCACTAAGGGGTGTGAAAAAACACCCCCCGACCAACAAAAGTTTGACTGACAAAAATCACCTGTGTAGACAGTGCTTTGTTGGCAGGTGATGCTCTCCTGCCGACAAAACTACTGATCCTTGTTGGGGGTGGTTTTATTTTGTCGGCAGGCAAGAGTTCTCCTGCTGACAAAGAACAGCCATACTGTGTACCTTACAGAGGCACGGCTGTAGCAGCACAGCCATGCCACTGTAAGGTGCACAGTGTAGACATAGCTTAAGTACACAAGACAGACAAAAGATGGAAAGTATTTTTAGCCCATTTTATACGTGGGGAACTGAAGCTCAGGGAGATTAACTGCTTTGCCCAAGTCAGGCAGGAAGTATGTGGCAGATCCAGGAACCCAGATTTTCTGAGCTGTAATCCAGCGTCTTAACCACAAGACTATCCTTATGTGGATGTATTATTCACCCTATAGGCTTTTAATTAATTTGATTTTGGGGAAGTTGAGGGTCAAGCTTATTTCCATTGTATTAATTAAAATTCAAGCCCATCTGGAAGTTTCAAACATGTTTAATTAAAATACTTCTGCCATCCTAGTACGAAAGCATCTGCTTTTGATTTATATAACGTAAAAACAGTATATTTAGTGTCAGAGTTGTATCTTCAGTTAATGCAAAACAATCCAATATTGTTTACACATTAAAACAATGATCCAGCTAAAACTTGCACACACATTTAACAACTGACTTCATTGGAATGACTTGTGTTTCAAGTTAAGATCACATGTAAATGTTTGTAAGATCAGAGCCTAACTCTGAATTTCCAGAAGTGGTCATACCATTGGTGGTGCTGCCTGGTCCATTAATTTCAATATAAGAGTCTGTGCTTGCTCTCGAACTTGGTCTTTGGCATCTCCCATTCGATCAATCAATGCTAGAAGAACTAGAGGACCAAAAAAAGGATTAACAAAATATGTATTAATCAATTTAAGACTAACAAGTTTATAAGAAATGTTTCTTAGAGAACAATTAAGATTTTTCTAGTTCAAAAATCAAGACACGACTGAAAACAAGTCCAAAACAAGTCCAAATATTTTAAAGATAGATTTTTAAAAAAAAATTATTTAAATGAGTCGCTAATCAGTTTTCTGTCACACGTTTAAGAACAATGAGTTGGACTGGAATTAAGAAGCAGAATGCTATCAAAATAACTAAGCCACAGATAATATTTCCCTTCTTGCCAACTATATACATTACTTCAGTTTGATCTTCAAAAAGAATGTCAGACAAAGGCTTCTCAGCCGATATTACTTTATAAGGATAAGGCCTTTGTCTGCAGCCATATTGTAAGGCCTGGTGCCAAAGGTATCCGTCTGCAACCAGATTAAAAGAGCAGCCAAGCAGCAGTCATTAGCTGAGAAGTAGGAAGTCACATCCTCACATTACATCTATATTACATTAAAGCAATGTGATATCAGGCTGTTAAGAAGGAGACCCTGTCCTAGTAGCACCCACTATCACCAGATAAAGAAACAGATCTTAAGATGGTTAAAGAAAACTTAGTCTGATAGCATCCTGTCAAGAAATCACTTATCAATAGTTTTCAGAGTAGCAGCCGTGTTAGTCTGTGTCCGCAAAAAGAAAAGGAGGACTTGTGGCACCTTCAAGATCAACAAATTTATTTGAGCATAAGCTTTCGTGAGCTACAGCTCACTTCATCTGATGAGAGCTGTAGCTCACGAAAGCTTATGCTCAGGAGCCACAAGTCCTCCTTTTCTTTTATCAATAGTTGTGGTTGTGAAATACTCATTTCTTTATTGTTTTGTCATTATGGTCCCTACTCCCCTATTGTTTATCTGTATGGTATGTGTCTGGTTCTTTAATTGTTTCTGTCTGTTACATAATCATTTTTGCTAGGTGTAAATTAATTACGGCGGTGGGGTAGGATTGGTTAGAGAATTTTGTTACACTATGTTAGAACTGGTTAGTAAAATAGTATAATGATTGGTTAAGGTACAGCTAAAAAGGACTCAAATTTCACTATTTAAACTGGGGTCCAAAAGGAAGTTCTTTGGGAACCAACTGTGATGTTGGACTCCATATGATTTTATGAAAACATGATAATGAGTGTGAATATAATGTAACTGGAATATGCTTCATGCAAAATCTCTCTTATAAGTTATCACTACAAATCTTATCTACTGAGTGTGGTCATCCTATTTGTATAAATGTATCATTCTTGTATCTGAAACTAGAAATATGAAATATAACTCTGAGGTCCTATTGTAATTATCCAAAGTGTGGGCCATTAATGGTGGTCTGGAATCTTGATGGCTCCCAGCAACTACGGCAACTGGTTGTAAATGACTGTTTACTTGCAAGACTTCCTGTGAGTCAGGCCAGAAAGAATGAAGGCTTTGGGTCTCATAGGATGTCATGTCTCATGTCTAGTTGGCAGCCGGTGTCAAGTGGAGTGCCCCAGGGGTCGGTCCTGGGGCCGGTTTTGTTCAATATCTTCATAAATGATCTGGAGGATGGTGTGGATTGCACTCTCAGCAAATTTGCGGATGATACTAAACTGGGAGGAGTGGTAGATACGCTGGAGGGCAGGGATAGGATACAGAGGGACCTAGACAAATTGGAGGATTGGGCCAAAAGAAATCTGATGAGGTTCAATAAGGATAAGTGCAGGGTTCTGCACTTAGGACGGAAGAACCCAATGCACAGCTACAGACTAGGGACCGAACGGCTAGGCAGCAGTTCTGCGGAAAAGGACCTAGGGGTGACAGTGGACGAGAAGCTGGATATGAGCCAGCAGTGTGACCTTGTTGCCAAGAAGGCCAATGGCATTTTGGGATGTATAAGTAGGGGCATAGCGAGCAGATCGAGGGACGTGATCGTCCCCCTCTATTCGACATTGGTGAGGCCTCATCTGGAGTACTGTGTCCAGTTTTGGGCCCCACACTACAAGAAGGATGTGGATAAATTGGAGAGAGTCCAGCGAAGGGCAACAAAAATGATTAGGGGTCTGGAACACATGACTTATGAGGAGAGGCTGAAGGAACTGGGATTGTTTAGTCTGCAGAAGAGAAGAATGAGGGGGGATTTGATAGCTGCTTTCAACTACCTGAGAGGTAGTTCCAGAGAGGATGGTTCTAGACTATTCTTAGTGGTGGAAGAGGACAGGACAAGGAGTAATGGTCTCAAGTTGCAGTGGGGGAGGTTTAGGTTGGATATTAGGAAAAACTTTTTCACTAGGAAGGTGGTGAAACACTGGAATGCGTTGCCTAGGGAGGTGGTGGAATCTCCTTCCTTAGAAGTTTTTAAGGTCAGGCTTGACAAACCCCTGGCTGGGATGATTTAATTGGGTATGGGTCCTGCTTTTGAGCAGGGGGTTGGACTAGAAGACCTCCTGAGGTCCCTTCCAACCCTGATATTCTATGATTCTAGGATGTGACTATGGCACCTGGTACTGTAATTCATCTTAAACCTGGTGCTTTTCCATTTAGAAGGAAAGATGGGGATCCAGAGACACAAAAAAGATTCCCGCCTTGTGCCAAAGCTATATAAGCAGGTGGAACAGAAAAAAGGAAGTTCCAGTCATGGGAAATCCCCTAGTTACCACCTGAGGTGAGGCTAACAAGAACCGTACCGGGGAAAGGATTGGGCCCAGACTAGGAAGGATTCCAGTCTGTGAAAGAAGCTTATTGGAACACCTCTGAGTGTGAGATTTTCTCTGTAATCAGTTTCTTAATGTATTAGGCTTAGACTTGCATGTTTTGTTTTAATTTTGCTTGGGAACTTCCTTTGTTCTGTCTGTTATTACTTGGAACCACTTAAATCCTACTTTTTATGTTTAATAAAATCACTTTTGCTTATTAAATTAACCCACAGTGAGTAATTAATACCTGGGGGAGCAAACAGCTGTGCATCTCTCTATCAGTGTTATAGAGGGCGGACAATTTACGAATTTACCCTGTATAAGATTTATACACAGTAAAACGGATTCATTTGGGGTTCGGATCCCATTGGGAGCTGGGTGTCTTGGTGCTGGAAACACGAGCACTTGCTAAGCCGTTTTCAGTTAAGTCTGCAGCTTGTCTGAGTCTGTGTTGCAGCAGATTAACTTATCTAGCTCAACAAGACAGGGTTCTGGAGGCCCAAACAAGCAGAGAAAAGGGGCTTAGAGGTAGTCTCAGCACATCAGGTGACAGTCCGAAGGGAGTCTCTGTGACCAAACCCGAGACACCAACTCCAGGACACAGCCCCAAAGATCAGAGCTGCCAGACCTCAACAATCTGTCAATGACAGCGTGCAGAAACTGGAGTCCCCCAGATGGACCTGATCCTGACTGACCATCAAGAAAAGTTCATCTGTCTTATTGGGAGTGGTGAGAATTGTGTATGTAGCGTGTGCAGTCTGTTTTGGTGACTGTTAATATAGAGAGGTTATGTAGCATATTACTGTGTAAGGCTCTTTCACTGGTAAAAGGTCCTGCACACCTGGAGAAGTAGTATACACCCAGAGCTCAACGTATTGGGAAAGGGTGTGGGTACTTAAAATTGACCAAGTTAGTTACACCCTGAGCCCTATGAATTTGGGTAAGGGTAGGTGCTTTTTGACTGGAGCCCTACAGACTGGGAAGAGGTGGGGTGCCCTAAGGTGTGCAGGTAACACTTCAGAAATAGAACACTTTGCCAGACCTCAAAAAGCTAGCCTGGAAATTGTTTTTAGATGCGGTTTTCTTCTAATTATGCATGCCATTTTCAGTAATTCCCTCAACTTTATATTTCCAGGCATAACAATTATTAAAATCTATACAGAATGACAAAATGTATTATTGAAATAAGGTTCTATCTTCCACAAGAATCAGGGTACAAGAAGGCACAATATTAAGCACAAGCATCCTTAATACTATTTAATAGAACTAATGTGACTATCTTCAAGTCCTAAATTCAACAAGCTGTAATGGAAATAAATATCAGACCTGTAAAATCTTTGATTAGCTGTGTTACCAAATTGCAACTTACATTTGATTAAAAGGCAGCAACACAACAGAGTTTTAAGGTTATGCAGCAATCTCCTGGGTGAACTGCTAGACCAAAACTATGCAAGTTATCTTGCTATGCCGATTCCCAGTACTCTGTTCATAACCTAAATGTGTTCTGTAGCAGACTCATTTTCTCCTATCCAATGGTCTCAGCAACTTCTTCAAAGTCAAAGGGGCTAACACATAGAAGGCTCTGCCTGCAGCTCTCTCTCAAGAGTGCTGATCACAGCTGTGGTGGTATGACAGAGAGCCAGTCTCTCAGTTAAGCAGCTACCAAGTCATCTAGTGCTTTTTAGTTCATATCCAACTCCTGGAACTCCACCTGGAAGTCACTGTGATCTAAAATCTACTATGGGTACCTGGCGAGTTACACTGCTGCTTCTGTGCCAACTTCAGTTTCTGAGCTAAAGAATAGATGAGGCTAAAAGAGACCATTATGATCTAGCCTTACCTTTTGCATAATTCAGGCCACAGAACCTCACCCAGAGTTGTTCTTCAGCCCAGACCTGAAAGAGAGCTCTGTGCAAGCCCAAGTTTATCTCTATGACCAACAGAAGCTGGTCTCTCTAACATCCTGGGACCAAGAGGGTTACAACAATGCTGCATACAACAGTGGGAGATGACTGTTATTACTAGAAAGAGGGGAGATTGCCAGCTGCCTCTTCACCTTGAGCAGCTACTGCTATTCTGAGTAAGACGCATGGGAAGAGGGGAGGGCTCACAGAGGGCTCTGTACTGCAAAGATCCCACTACCCCACCACAGGGTCTGCTGGGGTGGCTGATGGCAGGGGCCAATACACTTAACCTTCTGCTTGGCAGACTGATCTTGGCAAGGCCACCCAATACAAGAGACCAACAACGTAGCAGGGAGCTTCTCACAGGTCTTCAGACTGCCCAGGACATAACTGCTCCTTAGCCCGCTGCTCTTCTTTTGGAAGATAGGGTCTGGGACCGGAAGACTGAAATCTCAGCTTCATGACACCTCAGCAGAGGGTACTATGTGCATAAGGCCTCCTTCCATTGCAGCAGCAGACTCTGTGGTATAAGCATAAATCCATTTTTGGGGAGGACACTGCCTAGCACTATTTGGGGGGAAGGGAGGATTAATGTATTAAGTAATGAATGTGTGGCCTTTGGGAAGACACAGGGTTAGCCAGCACAAGAGCAAGGTCTTCAACCATAAAGTTGATGAGCATGTATCTTACCAGCAGGAGACTAGAAAGAAGGGGGACACAGCGCAGGGCACAAGTAAATGTCAGCTTTTTGACTAGGCTTAGGGCTTGTCTACACTACCCGCCAGATCAGCGGGCAGTGATCGATCCAGCAGGGGTCGATTTATCATGTCTAGTATAGATGCAAGAAATTGACCGCTGAGCGCTCTCCCGTTGACTCCGATACTCCACCAGAATGAAAAGGGCAAGCGGAGTCGACGGGAGAGTATCAGCTGTCGACTTACCGCAGTGAAAACACCGTGGTAAGCAGATCTAAGTACATCACGTAAGCTAGGCTATTCATGTAGCTGAAGCTGCATATCTTAGATTAACCCTGTGCAGTAGTATAGACAAGCCCTTAAACTATTGCAGAAATATTTCAAGCAATAATGGTGATTAGAATCAAATCAAAATCAAGAAAGTCATTTAAGAACATTTTATTTGATGTCATACATTTTTATGCATCATATTTGTTTTTTTAATTATCACTACATCATTTGGGCAGATGTCTTCACTGAGCTGTTCATCCACAACAGATCTAAAAGCAGATGAAGTTAGCTGAGAACCTATCATTCTGGAAGGAAGCATTTCAAGAAAAACTGATTCTCAACAGTAAGAGACACCTGACTGGCAAGTGTAGGAATCTAAGAGCTTTAAAACAACACAGTAAAAAATAGAAAGCAGCAGCAGTCCCCCAGGCTGCTCCCCTCCTGCCCTGGAGCAGCATCAACCATAAAGGGCCCCCCCAGACCACCTAAGATTTAGCCAGGGGTATTTTTAGTACAAGTCATGGACAGGTCACAGGATGTGAATTTTTGTTTTATTTCCCATTATCTGTCCATGATTTGTACTATAAATACCCTGACTAAATCTTAGCCTAACAGCCACTGATGGACTTATCCTTAGAGCCCTGCACGGATACAAAATTTATGTCCACAGATGCAGATATCCGCAGATATAAATCAGCATCCCTGGAGTTGCAGGGCTGTACTGGGAACCACAATGTCCAAAGCAGCAGCCTGCTGCCACACCCAGGACTCAGCACCCCATGCCAGCAGCTCCTCCAGCATGGCTATACTGCCCCTAGCCCGACCCAATGCACTAACGCAACCAGGGACAGCTGCCAGTGAGCAGGGTTGGGGCCAGTACAGCCATGCCGGAGGAGCTGCCGGCTCGGGGCGCTGGCTCCTGGGAGTGGCGGCCTGATAGGCTGCTGCTTTCGCCACTGTGGTTCCCAGTGGATCCCTACAGCGCCACACATAGATACAAAATTTATATCTGCAGATATAAATTTTGTATCTGTGCAGGGCTCTACCGATCCTCCATGAACTTATCTAGTTCTTTTTTGAATTCTCAAAAAGAAAAGGAGTACTTGTGGCACCTTAATTGTTAGTCTCTAAGGTGCCACAAGTACTCCTTTTCTTTTTGAGAATATAGACTAACATGGCTGCTACTCTGAAACCTTTTTGAATTCTGTTACAGTTTTGGCCTTCATAACATCTCCAACAACAAGTTCCACAAGTTGACTATGTGGTGTGAAATACTTCCTTTCGTATGTTTTAAACCTGCTGCCTATTAATTTCATTAAGTGACCCCTAGTTCTTGTGTTATGTGAAGGAGTAAATAACATTTCCTTATTCACTTTCTCTGCACCAGTCAAGAATTTATAGACCTCTATGATATCTTCTCTGATTCATCTCTTTTCCAAGATGAAAAGTCCCAGTCTTTTTAATCTCTCCTCATATGGAAGCCGTTCCATATCTCTAATAATTTTTGTTGCTCTTCTCTGTACCTTTTCCAATTCTAATACATCTTTTTTGAGATGGGGAGACCAGATCTACATGCAATATTCAAGATGTGGGCATACCATGGATTTATACAGTGGCATTATGATATTTCTGTTTTATCTATCCCTTTCTTAACAGTTCCTAACATTGTTACTTTTGACCGTTGCTGCATGTTGAGTAGATGTTTTCAGAGAACTATCCACAGTGACTGCAAGATCTCTTTCTTGAGTGGTAACAGCTAATTTATACCCCACCATTTTGTATGGATAGTTCGGATTATGTTTTCTAAGGTGCATTACTTTGCCTTTATCCACACTGAATTTCATCTGCCGCTGTGTTGTGAGATCCCTTTGTAATTCTTCACAGTCTGCTTTGGACTCCACTATCTTGAGTAATTTTGTACCATCTGCAAATTTTCCACCTTACCATTTACCCCTTTTTCCACATCATTTATAAATATGTTGAACAGCACTGGTCCCAGTACAGACTCCTGGGGGACACCAAAATTTACCTCTCTCCATTCTGAGAGCTGTCCATTTATTCTTACGCTTTGTTTTCTATCTTTTAACCAGTTATCAATAGGTGGGAGGACCTTCCCTCTTATCCAATGACTGCTTATCCTACAACATGTTACAGAAAACTTAAATATCCAGCATCTGCTGTCTCACTCTGAAGCAAGCAACAACTATATATAACCTTAAAGGATTATTCTCATCTACTAGCCCATATTAAGCATTTCCTTTTCATTAAAAAGTATTAAGACTTTTTTTTAAATCAAAATTATAAGTAAAATGTTAACAAGTAGATATGGTACCTGGGATGGTAAAATATATAAATTTTCAAGCTGTTATAATAAAATGAGGTTTTTACACAGTGCTTAAAATGATTTCTGGTTCATTCTGTTTCTCCCTTACTCAGTTTGCAGATTCTTAAGATGTATTTCATGACAAGTCTTGTAAGGCTGCACATGGAATTTAACAGGAAATATCATATCACAGCCTCAAGAACAATTTAATAAACACAGAAAAGTCTCTTGTAAATTAAAGCTGAAATAATCTAACAGATTCTGGAATGCAAGTGAAGAAGTTTGTTCAAGGCAGGGTTTCATATTTACTAAGAAAGGTTGGATATATTAATTAGTCCTCTATTGTTATTCTTTACTCTCTCCATTTTCTGTGGCAACAACAAAAGAATTCCTAACCAGAAATTGTTTCCTAACTATATTTTGATGTTACGTTGGTTCCATATTAACAAATATTGAACTACTAGGTGAGGAAAAGCGACATTCAAGCAGGATATGATTTAGGCCAAGATTTTAAAAAATGGCTAGCAATTCTGAAAGCCTCAATTTTCTGAGAACCTACTCTCTGAAAATCAGGCCCCTTTCATACGTCTCAAGTTGGTTACAGAAAAATTGAGGCACCCAGAATCACTAGTCACTTCTGCACACCTTAGTCTTAACTTTGACGGTATGTTAGAAAGCTATAGTCTTCATTAAGTACTCTCAGAAGAACATTTTTTTCCCCCCAAAAGGAGGCAAAACCGTTAACCTCATCCCTCAAATTAATTCTTACCCCTTCCTCTAACCATAATCACTGTACTGAAGAATCTCAGCAGTTCACAGATGTTGGGACTCTTATTTGATCTTTGGCTGTGAACAGTGCAGCATAGAAAAAACAGAGTTAACTCTGGTGAACGAGGACTTATACAGAGTTTCAAAGCACTATTTTTGTGACATTTCTCCATACATTTATTCTTATTTTTTGTCCTCTTATGTACCACTCCTTTAAAAATACTTCAATCATTTTTGCAAGCCATGGAATGTGGTGGAAAAAACAAATGCATGTTTATGTAATCTCTGCATTTTGTTTTAACCACATCTTCATGAAGTAGTTGTTAAATTACAATAGAGCCCTACACTGTTTCAAAGACAGACACTTCTTAAAAAATGCTGCTTAATTTGCTTCATTTCTCCAGAACATACCTCTCTGTTCTTATTACCAGGTATCCCTAGACTTCTACAATAATCTCTTTGGTAGTGAAACAGTTCAATCACCTTCAATGAAGATATTTATAAAAATCATTTCAGCATTTCATCTCTCTCAAAACTCCCAGAAATATCAATATTGATGATAGCTGCAAAGAATGTGTAATATGGTTAATCTGAAAAGAAAGGGTAAAACACACTCACTACAATGCAAGATTGTTGCCTAGGAAACTGAATTCATTCTCCTTTACCCTATGGTATATCTCCACACAAAGGTTACTAATGTGCAATTCAGGTCATATTAAAATGCCTGTGTTAGTGACCCTGGCTAAAACTAATTTATGGGATATAGGTAGTTCATAAAGCTATATAGGTAACAATGCATTTGTTTTGCTTTCACTCCTCAGCAAAACCCTTGTTTATTCTTAAGTGAGCAAATGTCTTAAATGACAGTTATTCCCCTTGCCCCACCTTTAAAGAACTACATTCCAATGTAACTGCAGGCCCATGTTTTGACAGGTTATGCTTAGGTAATGCGTTAGGTCAGTTATTACTGGGAGTGTAAGTATCATGCATAGGAACATTCCAATATCTCAAAAACACAAGGCATGAAGTGAGAAAATGCAGGATTTTTTTTTTTTTTTGGCAGATGACAAACCCTTCAATTTCTTATTTCATTAAACAAAATAATATACACCAAAAAAGCAGACTGAAATTTCCAGTTGGGATAAGGTGGATTTAAAAAAATACCCAACACTATTATATAAAAAATAGTACCAATTTAATCTCACAATAATGGGACAGAATGGTGCTTAATATAATAAGTGATCATACTTGAGTACATTAAGACTGTGACACTGTTTTCGAGTAAGAATGGCAAACCACAAAGACTACGTCCTGGAGTATATATATGAAGAAAAAGGAGAGGGGAAAGAATGGTTTGCATCAGCATTTTCAATTTTCAAAGTAATATTTAAGAGTTGATTGGAAAAGCTCTCTCCATCTCTAATCTACATGTATGATGAGATCCAGCAAAGTCACAGATTGAAAGAGGCATATTAGAGAACATACACATTTGCTAAGAAAAAGACTCAATGTTGCTATAGCCATCTTGTCTTCTATTTGGAGATCTTATGCTCTTCTCTCTCCCTTAATATTCTCCTGTCTAGTAATAGAAGCCCTTCCTCACTCCCCATATCACACTGCCAGCCTGAAGTGTAAATCTGCAATACACAACTGGCCATCAGCGCACATCACGAACTATGACCATAACAGGCAGTGCCATATCTGTTAAAATGTCACAGCTGGAGTTTGCAAAGAATCATAATTTTGATTCTTTCCCACTGCTTGACCATGGGAGCTTTGGGTTCAGCCACAAAGTTTATAGGATGATTTCCTAGTCCTACACCCTCTCAAATAAGCAGTACTGCTATTCATAGAGCCGAGATATGGATTTGAAATATTTTCTTCTATAACCCAGACTGTTTAAACACAGTATGGTCACACCCAAGAGAGCATTATTTGACTAGTTCAGGCTTAGTTATGCACAAGTGTGCAAGAAGCTTTTAACACTGAATATACAGTGCAACAACATAGCAGTGTTTTACAGAGAGATGGCTGAAAAGAGAAACTACTACTGATACTCTGAAACCTGTTACTAGGGTAATGTAATTCAGGTCTCTTTCCTTCTTCATTAACAACCACAGAAGTGATTTTGCACATGGATGGACTGGAGAAAAACTGGCTCTTGGTTAAACTTATTTCTCATCAACCTGGCATATAAACAGTGAATACACATAAAGGCAAAAGTTCTGTCCTCTCCTGGAATTCCCCTGGTTCTCCCAAAGCAGATTTCACTTGGCAATTTAAGGCCTGCTCTACATAAAGTAGAAGCGGTTTAACTGAAGCTGCCATTTTAAGTGGAATTAAACCGGTGAAAGTTAAGTTTAGACAAGCTCTCATGCTCAACTTGGATAAAATGCATCACAGGTGGGCTGGGGAAAACTTATCAGCATCTACTTATGCTGTTTGCACCGAGCAGATATGCAGGGTTCACAGCTTAGGGTAGAGTGGCATTATTTTTATTCCAACACCAACATAGTAAAATATTCAAATTGTAAACTCTTCTGAGCAAAGACTTGACTTACATATCTGTTCAACTGTGCACACCAAAAGTATGATATAAAAATAAATAAAAAAAATAAAAATCACATTAAAGCCCAGGTTTAATCCTGAGATGATGGAAAGCAAGGCCTTCTCCAATGAAGATTTATTGCATAACTCCAGAACGCTCCCTAAATGTAAGACAAATACATCTGATACTCATTTCTTACATTAAGCATGTTTCTTATATTAAGTATATTGTGTGTTGTCTTATTGTATGATGGAAGGTGTTCATGCTCTAGGATTTAGAAAGCTGCCTTTTTATCATGTTTTCAATTATATTTTAAAGCTCCCAGATGCATGTACTTATAGGCATCTACAAATTAATATTTATACTATTTACTGTTCTGCATTGTCAAAATCAGCAACGACTCAAAATCTTAGTGCGACATTGAGCTCCTGACCTTCTGGCCCAGAGATGAGAGCTACCAACTAAGGGTATGTCTACACTATGAAATTAGGTCGATATTATAGAAGTTGATTTTTAGAAAACGATTTTATACAGTTGATTGCGTATGTCCACACTAAGCACATTAAGTCGGCGGAGTGCGTCCTCACTACCGTGGCTAGCATCGACTGATGGAGAGGTGCACTGTGGGTAGCTATCCCACAGTTCCCGCAGTCTCTGCCACCCACTGGAATTCTGGGTTAAGCTCCGAGTGCCTGATGGGGCAAACACATTGTTGTGGATGGTTTTGGGTACATGTCATTAGTCACCCCTCCCTCCGTGAAAGGAGAGGCAGACAATTGTTTCGCGCCTTTTTTCCGAGCAGATGCCATACCACGGCAAGCGTGCAGCCTGCTCAGCTCAGCTCACCGACACCACCGCTGTTGTGTCCTGGGTGCTGCTGGCAGCAGACGGTACAGTAGGTCTGCTAACCACTGTCATCCACCACTTCCCCTGCAACTCTGCTCTCCTGCAGCTCAGGGGATCCGTTCTGATCCTCCCGGGTGCTGCTAATCGTCGTCATACACCGCTTCCGCTGCAACTCTGCTCTCCTGCTATTGTCTCAATAGTGAATTTCTCCGTGTTGTCTGTCATGGGCTCCCGGGTACATGTGTTCTTCCTCTGGAAATGTCATCCTCCACCTCTTCCACTGAAACTCTGCTCTCATGAATCCACCTCGCAGGTCCTCTCGTCGTTCTCTATAAATATCTATTCTCGTGGCATCCGTCTTTAGCCACCACTTCCGCTGCAACTCTGCTCTCCCGCAGAAGTCATACCATGGCAAGCATGGAGCCCGCTCAGATCACCACAGCAGTTATGAGCATTGTAAACACCTCACGCATTATCCTGCAGCATGTACAGAACCAGAACCTGAAAAAGCAGGCGAGGAGGAGACGGCACCGCGATGACGAGAGCGATGAGGACATGGACACAGACTTCTCTCAAAGCACGAGCCCCAGCAATTTGGACATCCTGGTGGCAATGGGGCAGGCTCATGCCGTGGAATGCCGATTCTGGGCTCGGGAAACAAGCACAGACTGGTGGGACCGCACAGTGTTGTGGGTCTGGGATGATTCCCAGTGGCTGCGAAACTTTCACATGCGTAAGGGCACTTTCATGGAACTCTGTGACTTGCTTTCCCCTGCCCTGAAGCACAAGAATACCAAAATGAGAGCAGCCCTCAGAGTTCAGAAGCAAGTGGCGATAGCCCTCTGGAAGCTTGCAATGCCAGACAGCGACCGGTCAGCGGGAAATCAATTTGGAGTGGGCAAATCTACTGTGGGGGTTGCTGTGATGCAAGTAGCCGATGCAATCACTGAGCTGCTGCTATCAAGGGTGGTGACTCTGGTGCAGGTCATAGTAGATGGCTTTGCTGCAATGGGATTCCCTAACTGTCGTGGGGCGATAGAACGCATATCCCTATCTTGGGACTGGACCACCCTGGCAGCCAGTACGTAAACCACAAGGGGTACTTTTCAATGGTGCTGCAAGCACTGGTGGATCACAAGGGACGTTTCACCGACATCAACGTGGGATGGCCGGGAAAGGTACATGACGCTCGCATCTTTAGAACTCTGGTCTGTTTGAACAGCTGCAGGAAGGGACTTACTTCCCAGACCAGTAAATAACTGCTGGGGATGTTGAAATGCCTATAGTTATCCTTGGGGACCCAGCCTACCCCTTAATGCCATGGCTCATGAAGCCATACACAGGCTTGTACAAATAGAAACTGCAATTTATTAATGCAATTTTAAAGTAATACAATCAAGTTGTTATACAACTTTAGATAATGGAGAAGAGTAAACAACTGTGTAGCAAGAAATTGATGCCAAAAAATTCTTGGAATCTCGAAGAATCACGATATAGCTGTCTTAAAATATTAAGGTAAAGTACATACTTATATTAACTTGTCAATATTATGTATGTATAAGTCAACCCCTAATGGGGCATATAGGCCCTCATCCTGCAGATATATGCTTTTTAGTGTGAGTGTGTGTTTCTGATTAGTGTGATAGTTACCTCCAAAAGTTCTCAGCCATTTGTCAGATATAGTTACTAAAATAAGAATGTTTACTAAGAAAACAACACTTTTTTCCTACATTTTTCTTTGAAGGAAAAGGAGAATTGACTGGTACTTCACTCACCAGTTGGTACATAGGATTTAAAGTGTCCTGATAGTCTGTCAACAAAGGCACCTAGGACATCTAATCCAACTAACGCCACCTGTAGAAAATAAAAGAAAGTATTAGATATATATAGTATATCACTAGACAGTTCTTTATAATATATTCTAATCTGTCTATAAATACCTAAACTGGCAACTGATGTAGTCACCCATATTGAATCATCAGATCAATATTCGAATTAGAGAGCTGACAATTACTTTCTAAAGGTTTTATATAAGGTGAATAATTTTAATACTATATTTAGGCTCGATCTAGTATGTTTACATAATATGCTGCACTTTGGATTTTTCAGTACCTTTTGCATTCTTCAGCCAAAAGGGAGCAATTTTTAGGAATGCA